AATTAGATATAAGAATCTCGCAGACTTCTTTTGCCCTGCTGGCTTTGAACTTCGGTCCTCAGATCTCAGCCTCCTGAGTTGCTAAGATTATAGACATAAGCTACCAGTGCCTGGCCAGAAGAAAGCTTGTTAATGGATTTTTTTCCAGCTTCTCTCCCCCCCTAAAAATCCTCCAGGAAATATCCATCATGAAGCTGACTGACTCACAAATGGCACTGACTCACAAATGACACTTTTGGCCACAACAGTGAATTAAATATGTCCCTTGCGTTTTCTCTGATCAGTAAGCGGTAGATCAGCTTAAAATGCAGCTCTTTCTTTGGGAAAAAGTGGGCTAATTTGTTTTAGAAGACAAAAAAAGCTAAGACTCTACGTTCATTAAAAAAAAGCTAAGACTCTACAGTCATTCAAAAACAACGCATCATTTATTTCATGCTCCTGTGTTTTCATACAATAATTTTAATTATTATGGTACAATTTATAATAAAAAGGGCAGAACAATCTCATTTAATTTTAAAATAAAGATATCTATTAGGAACATTTATTAGTTCATTTGACCTACCATTGGCTATCTTTGACAATGAAGATGAACTTCATTTTGTTACACAGCATATTTTGGTATTGAGACAAACAAATGCATACCGTGCCTGAAATCCCACCTTGAGTGATGAAAGCCATGGTCAGTGTCAGCAATAGATTTCAACCACTTAGAAGAACAAAAAATAATCTGGAATTATTTGAATCACTGATAATCAAACTGAAGCAGGATTCATAGACCACGGGAGAGAATTGTTTCAACAATTTAAAATAGATCTTGAAAGCAGATTATTTTCATAACATATTTGAAAAGAAACAGGATTTGAAACTGAAGACTCCAATTGGAACAGCAAGGAATGATAGTATTAATTCTGTCTCTCCAGTGTCCAACACTGTTTCCTTCCCCAATCCTGGGGCTTGAACTCAGGGACTGGGCTCTGTCTTTGAGCTTCTTTGGCTCAAGGCTAGCACTCTATCACTTAAGCCAGAGCACCACTTCTGGCTTTTTCTGTTTATGTGAGGAACTGAACCCCAGGCTTTATGCATGCTAGGCAAGCACTCTACCACTGAGCTACATTCCCAGCCTGTCCACTGCCTTTTATAAGATGATGTGAAGCTGGTCTCATCAAATCTATGCAAAGGTAGGTTTCTTCTTCCTGTTAGCCATCATTTCTTTACGAGTCTCTTCATTAATTTACATATTATTTTTTTGGGACAGAATCTTACTATATAGCCCAAGCTGGCCTCCAACTTGTAATCCTCCTGCTGCTTCTGCCTCCCAAGTGCAGGGATTATACAAATGAAGCACAGCACCCAGCTCCAATTTACACAGCTATTTAAGAGATCAATAATAAAACCACAGACAGCAGAATCAACCCAGAAGGCAACTGAAATTGTCTTGCTATAATAAAACAGTTTTCAAATTTACACATACTATTCTAATGAAGAAACAAAAACCACTTTCATTTCTGTCATCTCTACATACGCATATTGCACAGTCACCTGAACAATAATCTACTTTCAATGGAGAATGAGCTTTTATTTAAATTTAATTTTATTATTTTATGTGTTGGCAGAACTGGAGTTTGAACTCGGGCCCTCATGCTTGCTAGGCAGCAAACCACTCCAAGGTTTGCAGATTCTCAATGAATAAAATCTCACAACTATATTTCTCACTTTGAATCTCTCTCTCTCTCTCTCACACACACATATACACACACACACACACGCACACACAAGCCCCTTAGACACACTGTTTATTGTTAATTTTTGTATCTTTATTTATTTATTTTTGTTTTTGTCGGTCGTGGGGTTTGAACTCTGGGCCTGGGCGCTGTCCCTCAGCTCTTCAGCTCAATGAGAGCGCTCTACCACTTGAGCTACAGCGCCACTTCCTTTATTGTTAATTTTTGGCATTATATTTAGAAGGGTTTATAGCAAGAAAGCTGTAAAATTAGAGAAAAAAAATATATTTTTATAGGTCCTGGGGCTTGAAGCTTGGGCATTGTCCCTAAGCTTTTGTACTCAAGGCTAGCATTCTACTCCTTGATCCATACCTCTACTTCTTGTTGGTTTTTGTGTGTGTGTGTGTGTGTGTGTGTGTGTGGTTAATTCAAGATGAGTCTCATCAACTTTCCTGCCCAGGCTGGCTTTGAATGATGATCCTCAGATCTCAGTCTCCTAAGTAGCTAGGATTGCGGGTACGAGCTACCAGTGACTGGCTGAGAATATTGTTTTTAGTGATACACTTTAACAAGTCAATGGTGTGTATTTGATACCATTTTGATTTGATGACTACCCCAATGCCAAAGACCTATTTTGGCTGCATGGCCTCTGCTGCAGAAGGCCGCTCTGTTGAAGCCACAGGGCTGGGAGGCAGGAGGGTAGTACTTGGCCCACAGTCATCACACACAGGCTTCCTTAGACCAGTATCTAAGCTTTGTTCCATATGGTCCACCATAGCAACATCATTTTAGTGTTTTCTGTTACTAGAAATGAGGCTTTGTTTATATGTGTCTATATAGTTCAGCATTATATTTCCATCCCATGCTTCTTTAGTAATTTGCATCTGGATAGCCAAAAGCTTTCAATAATTAGGTAACATCTTGGGCCTTTAGTCAATAAACATGGTAGCCACTCTTGTTAAAGATGGACACAAGCTCCTAGAAATTCTTCCCATCAAAGGGTAACATCCGTTGCCCCACCCCTAGATTCTGTCCTACTTTTGTGATTTTCTTTGGTGTGTCAGGTGAACTAACAGCCAAGTTACATGGAGAGAAGGTCTTGGAATTTCCACTCTCACCCTGTTTGAGGCCTTTTGGAGGAAAACTGAGGAAACTCGGCCCACAATCCCAGCCAACCTGAAGACCATCTGTGTGTCAGTTTTCTTTCACTAGAACAAAACACCTGAGACAATCAACTTATAAAGAGAAAAGGATTCGTTTGGCTTACAGTTTGGGATGCTGCAGACTGTGATCAGTTGGCCCCCCTGCTTTGGGGACTGTGGTGAGGTAGAACAAGATGACAGAGAAACACAGTAGCCCCAAACTGCTCACCCTACTGCCAAGAAGCAAAAGAGGGGCTGAGAAGGTGGCTCAGTGGTAGAGCGCTTGTGTCACATGCATGAGGCCCTGGGTTCAATTCCTCAGCACCATATAAACAGAAAAAGCTGGAACTGGTGCTGTGTCTCAAGTGGTAGAGCGCTAGCCTTCAGTTGAAGAGCTGAGGGGCAGTGCCCAGGCCCAGAGTTCAGGCCCCACAACTGACAAAAAAAAAAAAAAGAAGCAAAAGAGAAGAGGAGTTGGTTGGGGGGGGGTCCCACAATCCCCTTCAATGGCATGATGTGTGGGCCTCCCACCTATTAAGGGGACACCCCTTCCAATACTGCCAGCGTGAAGATTAAATCCTCATCATGAAGACTCTTTGGACTCCTGCTACTTAAAGTTCACACTCTGACACCATCCAGGACCAAAACGCCTCTAGCCGACGTACTCACTCACCATCCATGTGGATGGAGACCCACTGGTACTTATGGATAAATGGATCATTCCATTAGGCACATAGTGCCCTGAAGTGACCATGCATCTGGTGAGAGCAGTGTTGTTACAAGCCACAATTCAGGGTGGGCCATTCAATGACAATGGGTAGCTGGTTTACTACTCTGGGATGGGAACTGTCAGGGGATACTGTAGCTATGACAACCACATCCTGTTTGGCAGATGCTAGGTAGGGGGACAGATATGTGATGGAGAAATTTCCTAGTAAATGTCATCAATGTTTCCTAGTAAATGTCAATCCCTGGGGGGGATTTGGAAAAGGGGTGTCACTAGGGAACCGCTAAGACTTTTCAGAGCAGATAATGTTGAAGAGGAATGAATAAGAAGGCAGAGGTATCCAGGCAAAGAAAGAATGCTCTAGGAAGCCAATAGTGTATGTGTAAAAACATTGAAGGGAACAAGGGAAATCAGGACCTCCTGTGGTCATAAGAAGTTCTCTGGCCTTTGGACCTTTAAACTGAGGGTGGTAAAACCCAGGGATCCAGGCACCAGTGGCTCATGGCTATAGTCCGAGCTACACAGGAGGCTGAGATCTAAGGATCCTGGTTTAAAGCCAGCTCAGGAAGGCAAATATGAGAGACTTTTCTCTCCAATTGACCAGAAAAGTGCTGGAAGTGGAGTATGGCTCAAGTGGTAGAGTGCCAGTCTTGGATAAAAAAGATAAGGAAAAGTGTGAGGTCCTGAGTTCAAGCCCCAGTATTGGCACAAAAACAAACAAACTGCCATACAAGGAAAAAACTAGTTATTCCCTTCCTCCCTCCCTCCTTTCTTCCTTCCCTTCCTTTTTCCTTCCCTCCCTCTCCTTTCTTCCTTCTCTCCTTTCCTCCCCCTCTCTCTCTTTCTTTTTCTGTCAGGGGCAGGAGAAGGGCTGTGTAGCATAAAAAGAAGTTTCTTGGGTGCTTAGGTTGGTTGGAGAAAAGTTCTGTTACCCAGGGCTCAAGTTAATGGGCAGACAAGAAGATGGTATTTTCAAAAGCATCCATTCTTGTGTCAATAAATGAACACATGCGGGCAGAAAACAACAAAGACTCTCATCTTTTAAAGAAGTTACAAAAAATGTTTTTTAAAGCCAAGTGGTAAGGCCTCCAACTTTCTAGTTGTCTGGTCTTGGGCAAATGACCAACTTCTTTATCAGTTTCCTCAAATCAAGACAATGATGGAACTGATCTCACAGCTCTGTAAAGACCAATGACCTAAAGTCCTAGCATAGCACTTGGCACAGAATGAACTCTAGCTATAGGGTCCCTGAATGGGGAGACAGGAATCACAAACTTTAACATGAAACGAACTTGTGTATTAATTCAGGCTTCAGAACATAATAGGTCCTACAGCCGTTTGCACTTAGAAAACATTTTTAATCTTGCTCAGACTTAGTTTTTGCATCTGAAGAATGAGACTAATAAAATCTACTTTAAAAGATTGTGATGCGCATTACATTTTAGAAGATCACACACGTTCAATGACATAGCAGCGCCAAGCACACAGTATAAACACACACAGTTGTAGAAGGGGACAACCTTTCTCAAATATAGACTGGCAATATTGATGGCAGATACTCAACAGAACCTCAAAATACTGTTCTCTGACTAAAGCTACCAAGTTGGGAATAGATATATATAAAAGCCTTAGCATGGTACCAGTACCAAGATATGATAACCTATGGAAGAAAATGACTGAGGTATAACATTTGTGTTTAATTTCATTAATACAGAATATGAAAGTAACTTCCTTGTTCAAAATTCATTATATGAAATGCAAAAGTATTTCTGACTCCCTAATTTGGCACTTTGAAGAATTTCCTCTATACCCCAAGAACCTAGATACCAGTCTTCTAACCCCGCCCCCTGAAAAAAGGAAAACTCTCACAAGACAAAACAAAATCCCAAATAGGCGTATATACAAATGGGATGAAAATTACAAAAGAAAGTGATAATTTCTGTGAAAAATTGTCCCCCTAAGTAAGCAGCAAATCATGTCCTTAACATGTTCTATTAGAAAGCTTGTAAAAAGTCAGGCTAAGAAGACAATCTAAGAACTTCAAGTTTTATCACACATAGGCCGAATTCTAGACTATTTCTTTTTTTCAAGTAAACACTCTCAAAGGAAAAATCTTATCAGGAGGTTTGATTTGGGGTTTTATGTGTATGAATAAGAAACTTCTCTGCCTTCACATTTAATATATGCAGGATGAATTCTAGAAAGCTAATTTATAGACAGAGCTGATTTGTAGACAAATGATTTAGGCTCAGAAAGAGAAAATAGGGACAGTTACAAGCAGTTTCTATACTGTCTTTCTTTATCTACCTCCACCCACAGCGTTAACAGAGTTTGATTTGGTTGTTTATTTTTTCACCTGATGCCAGAACTGAAGCATGTTAAATTAGAAGTCAACACTAAAAGAGGGGATTAAGAAGAAGTCACTTCTTGATGGCTTTGGAGCACCTGAGTGCTTTAGAACCACCTTCTGCAAATGCTGGTTAGCAGATCATATTCCTATGGATACTATTTTCATCTGAAGAGAAATGGGTAAGGTGTAGGTTCACCTTCTAGCAAACAATCTCATTGTCAGAGGGAGTCTTGTTAAATTGCCCACACCAGCCGCAGACACCTGGGCTCAAGCAATCTTTATGCCTCAGCCTTCTAACTAGCTGAGCTGACGGCTACATACCACTGGGCCCGGCTTGAAAAGTATATTTTTAGAGTCTGTAGCAGCTACTTTTCATGACTCCCTAGAAAGTCGATTTCAACAATGTTGCTCCTTCAGTTTGAGAAGCATCTCAACAACTTTGTACAAATGAAGATGAAAACTCCGGATGAGGACCACGAATAGAAATAGAAATGTAGTAAGGCAATCCCATCATGTAGGAAAATTCTGCTTCCCTATTGCTTTCCTACACTGACTTTTTTTTTTTAAGATGTGTTACCCGATTCTTCCACATACAAACAGTGTATGGAACTTGATGTGTGAGGATGGAGGAGAGATACAGGTGTCCAGAGCCATCCATGTACAGGACAGCCTGTCCTTGCATTGCTGTTTCTGGGATGCGTCACTGCTGGGCGGGGCAGGGTGGGGAGGGGAGGAAGGTCTGGCTGCTCAGCGCTCCAGCTCCTCCATGACTTCCATCACAATTGTCCGTGGGCCTGTCAGGATCAGATTGCTCACGGTCCGGTAATCCACGTGCAGCACATTGAGGCCATTGACAGAGACAACAAACTGACAGACCTACAGGAGTGACAGAAAGAGAGAACATCGTTATCACTGTGGGTTTTTCATAGATTCCCCAGTCTATGAAAATACTGTTGAACCCTATCAGATAGTTTGTAGTATATGTGTGTGTGTGTGTTTATGCCAGTACTGGGGTTGAACCCAGGATCTGAATCTCTTGCTTGGCTTCCTTTTCCCTCCTCAAAGCTGTTGATCTACCACTTGACCTACATCTCCACTTCCAGCTTTATTTTAATAATCAATTAATTAGTAATTTTTTGCTGGTTAATTGGAGATAAGATTCTCACAAGCCAGGCGCCGGTGGCTCACACCTATAATCCTAGCTACTCAGGAGGCTGAGCTCTGAAGATCACGGTTTGAAGCCAGCCCGGGCAGCAAAGTCCAGGAGACTCTTACTGGAAAAGTGGAAGTGGAGCTAAAGGGGAGAGTACTACCCTTGAGCGAAAAGCACAGGGACAGCGCCCAGGCTCTGAGCTCAAGACCAATCCCTCCCCCCAAAAAAAAATTCTCACAAATTTTGCTGCCCAGGCTGGCTTCAGACCTTACTCCTCAGATCTCAGTCTCTTGATTAGCTAGGATTATAGGTATAAGTCCCCAGCACCTGAATCTGAAGAATTTTTAAAAATCTTTATAGATGATCAAATCATGAGCCAGGCAAAGGAGAAAATAAAAAGAAAGAACGAAGAAAAAGACAAATGGGAAGGAGAAGGGAAGGAGCGGGGCGGGTTTTTGGGTTGAGAAACAAATTTAGTGATGTTTTGCTTACCTGTAACTCTCACTCTCACACCTCTTGAAATATAATGCTTGAGAAATCAACTACTTATTTATCAGTTACTTTCGTGTTGAAGACTCAAGAATGTGGACAATGCTCAAATACTTTGGGACACTACCATTTCCTATTCATTGCTTTCTGAGTGGGGTCAATTTATATTTAAATACTATATTGGCCCAAAATATTTATATGGTTACTTAAATCGAAACTGGAAAATATTAGAGGATGGCTAAATGTCAGTGGAAATGTAAGGTTTCAAGATAGGGGTTTAAGTCGTAGGCCACTTTGATGGATGACCTCAATCAGGTCATTTTCCTCTTTTTTTATGTCTCATAATAAAATCATGTCTCATTTATAGAATAGATAGATAGGGTTAGAGATAGAGTGCTTGCTGTTCCAATCCTAGCACAAGCAAACAAATCAGACAAGTGAAAAATGCCTGTCTTTCCAAGTTAGAATCAGATTATGCATTTAAAATATAACTACAATTCCATGCATTTTATCGGTACTGGGTTCTTTTAATCTCTCTCTCTCTCTCATATACACACACACTTTCTTTCCTCATTCATCCCTCCTTTCTTCCTTCTTTTCTTTTGTGGTATTTCTGATTTGAACTCAGGATCTGGCCTTTCGCTAGGCAGGCAATCTACGACTTCAATCAAATCACATTCCTTTTGCTTTATTTTTCAATACAATGAACAGGACAGCTAACCTCCTCTTTTTCCTCTTCCCATGTAGCTAGGATGACAAGCATGACCCACTGTTCCTAGCTATTGGTTGAGAAGGGTTTATTTAGTTATTTATTTGGCCAGGGGTGATTGTAACTAAGATACTCCCAATTTCTGCCTCCCAAGCAGCTAGGATAACAGTCATGAGTCACCAGCACCTGATTTATTTATTTTCTCATTAAAAAAATTCCTTGGCCATGGCTTAAGTGGTAGAGCCTTGAGCTGAAGAGCTGAGGGACAGTGCCCACGCCCAGAGTTCAAGGCCACGATGGACCAAAAAAAAAAAAAAATTATTCCTTGGAGTTGGAAGCATGGCTCAGTTGTGTCAGGTACTGAGTTCAAATCCTGGTCTCAGACCTAAAAAAAAATTTCCTTGCCCAACTACCAGTGGCTCAGACTTATAATACTAAGATCTCAAGAGGCTGAGATCTAAGAGTTGAAGTTCAAAGCCAGCCTGTGCAGAAAAATTGAGCTTCTTATCTCCAATTAACTAGCAAAAAACCCAGAAGTGAAAGTATGGCTCAAGTGGTAGAGTGCCAGTCTTGAGTAAAATAGCTAAGGGACAGCGCCCAGGCACTGAGTTCAACTCCTAATACTGGCATAAATAAAACAACATCAGCAATAACAATAACAAAAAAACCCCACAGAGAACCATGGCCTTCAGGGTTAAACGGAAAGCAGCAAGCAAGCAGGTGGTTATTTACTTGCTGTTTTTTGCTTGTCCACTCTCAACGTACAGAACAACATCACCTCCAAATGTAAGAAGGTCACATGATCATTCTTTCTCTTCTTTTCCATTTCCGCAAGTTTGTCCTCACAGATTCTGGGCACATCTCTCTATTTTGTCAGTCTTGGCACTTGAACTTGGGGCCTGGATGCTGTTCCTGAGCTCTCTTGCTCAAGGCTAACTTCTACCACTTTAAGCTACAGCACGTCTGGTTTTCTGGTGACTGATTGGAGGTAAGTCTCCTGGACTTTCCTGCTTGGGCTGGCTTTGAACTGCGATCCTCAGATCTCAGCCTCCTGTGTAGCTAGGATTACAGATGTGAGCCACTGGTGCCTGGCACTGGGCACTTCTTGTACGAAATCAGCAGTTCTCAGGCATGGTGGAGGTCACAGTCATAATGGAGGTCAGGCTGGCAGGTCAGAATCCATCTTGAAGTGGGTCACAGTCATTTACAGGATGATTTAGCACTAACAGAGGCATTACCCTGTGCTTTGCTTTCTTTTTTTCTTTTTGGTTGCTGCAGCAGATCTGGGGCCAAAGAATGAGAGGAATTTCACCCCCTCCCACCCCGAGTTGAACCTGAGATCTGGGTTCTCCTTTCCTCCACAAGGAAACTTCTGGTTACTAGGAGTTGCCAGGGGAGCTCAGTGCAGAGAGCTCTGGGTGGGCTCCTTCATCTTCGCCCCATTGTGACTTGTCTTTCTCACATAGCCTGTTTCAATGACCAACATTCAAACACTAGGAAATCTTCACATAAAATCCAGATCCTAGACCCTCAGGAACAATAGGAAGACTCGATCTCAACAAGTCTGATGGCCACACATCTGGCCTGGTAGAGGTGGTCCTGTCTACTTCCTGCCTTCCTTAGCATGTGTATGTGTAATCCCTGGTTGAAGCAAGGCACTTTCAAGAACTGAAGGAAGTCAGGTGCCAGTGGCACACGCCCACAATCTTAGCTACTGAGGAGGCTGAGATCTGAGGATCACAGTTCAGAGCCTGGGCAGGCAGTAAAGTCCATGAGACTCTCATCTTCAATTAATCACCAAAAAGCCAGAAGTGGAGCTGTGCTTCAAGGAGTAGAGCACCAGCTTGGGGGTGAAAAAGCTCAGGGACAGTACCCAGGTCTTGAGTTGAATTCAAGCCTCAAACCAGCACCCCCCACCCCTACCCTCACAGAACCTAAAAAGCATCAAATAATGGCAGATACAATGAAATTTGGTATACACATTTGGTATACATAATGGAATATTATACTACATAAAATGGGTCTAACATAGCAACAAGCCTTAAGAATACTATACTAAGTGAAAAGGCTCGCCACCATGGGTGGCATGAAGTGTTCAAACAGGCCAGTAGGTCTACTAAGACTGGCTATTCCTGGTACCCAGGGGCTAGGGAGCAGGGAGGGAGGAGGGCACGACACTGACAGTTAATGGGCATGGGGGTTATTTTTGGGAGTGATACTGATGCTCTAAAATTGTGCTGATGATCGTGTAACTGTAAATATGCTGAAAGCCACTGTAGAGTTTACATGGGTGAATTGTATATTTTGTGACTTGTATCTCAATAAACTTTTCAGAAGGAAGGAAGGAAAGGAGAGAGGGAGGGAAGAAGCAAGCAACACGGAAGGAAGAGAAGCTTGAGGGCAGCAGTGCATGGACCTCTGTAGACAGTAGAGAGGATTCAGGCTGAACTCCAAGTGGGGTCTGGTGCCTCCTGTGTGCAGGAATCCAGGTGCTTCAGCGCCTTGACTGGCAAAGGCCATGTGCTCAGGAGGAAGTGCATGCGCGAGCTCTGCTTAGGACCTCTGCCCAGGTGCTCAGGGTTCAACTTCATGCCTCACACAACTACAGACTGATGAATACATACCTGCAAGTTCCGAGACTGGCAGAGAACAGTAGAAGACAAGTGGTTTTAAGACGGTCTGATGGTTTTAGGCCTACTCAAATATGTACGGTGTTAGCCTAGATGGAGCATGTCTATAATCTCAGCTACTGGAGAGGATGGAGTTCATGGCCAGACTGGGCTACCTAGCACAACCTTGTCTCAAGAAAACAAAAGCAAAAACTCCCAAGCAAACAAGCAAGCACAGAAACAAACTGTGGTGCTGATCTTAGTCTCTTCCAGGCTCAGAAGGTGTTTATTCAATTAAGATTGGGTTGCTTTATTTATCTGTGCTAATTAACATCTCCACAATATGTAAGCCTAGACATTTATTTCAAGTCTTTTCCAGAAAAACAAAAAAAAACAAAACAAAAAAGAAACCCCAGAAGCCATTTCTCAGGCTTACATTTCAGGTAGTATTTTTAGAACCAGGCTGGGAACAAAGACGTCATCTCTCCCTAAGTGGTCTCAACAACTGCTGTGGTTCCAATCTTATTAAAGACAGGGCCCAGAGAGGCAGTCATTACTGAGCAAGCACTCTGTTAGAAAGGGCTCTCAATTAGCATCTACGGAACACAGTGTTTTGCAAATCAACACGTATTGTAAATACCCACAGGAAGCACAGTCTGGGGAACATCACTTCCCCTCTCCACTAAAGAACAGACAGTACACACAGAATGTGTAAGTGGGCTTCTTTCTAGGCCTATTTTAGGAACATATTCCCCTTACTTGGGTTAGGGGTTTTGATCCTACCCACCACTGGTAATGCAAATTCAAGTTAGGTGGTGATGTTTTTTTTCTTGTAATTATTTTCTTTTTCTTTTTCTTTTTTTTTTGTTGGTTTTAGGGCTTAAACTTGGAGCCTGGGTGCCGTCCCTGAGCTCTT